ACACCCTGCTCCCGCTTCGAGGGGCTTGTCCGAAGGGAAACCCGTCTAAATAATCCCCCACGGACTTGGGGAGAGCCAGAACGGGGGTGCTGCACCCCGACACCCGTCACCCAAACGGCCTGAGAGTCAAAGCTGCGCGACCCCCACGTTCCCGCAGCTTCGAGGGCCCGACCGAAACGCTGTCCCGATGCGATGGAGCCGGGCTGAGTCCCAGGCCGGAGGCATGGGGGATGCTCCCTCAAGATGCAGCACGTATGCGGGGCTGCAGAAAAACCGAACACAAGTCACCGGTGCCGGGCGGTTAGGAGCAGGCTGGGAACCAGCTCCTGGATCCCCGCAGCCGGCATTTGCAAATAAACGAGCTGCCCGCACGGCCCCAAAGGTTTGTGGGGCCCAAGCATTGCGGGGATGGGATGAACACACCGAGGTTGTGGGGTTTTTTTTAGGAGAAGCTCAGGTCAAAGGATGTGTCTGGAAGGGAAGGGACACTCTGCCGACAAGAAGCACCAAAATAACATCCCTTGGCATTGCTCCAGAAGACTTTCTCCCTGCCTGATTCCTCGGACACCCCGTGCCTTCAGGACAAGCAGCCCTGCGCTGTGAACACCCTCTGCCAGGTGATGCCACACTGCCCTGAAGCCGAAACTCGTATCATGGAGGCGCCAAAGCCTTCATCCTCCCTGCCTCCACGCTGGAAAAGGGGCTCCGACCCACTCCAGAGCCTCCCTCTCCGGAGCTCAGCCTGCTCCGGCTTCCCTCACGTCATCCCTTAAATCCCCAAGCAGTTGCGCCGCTTAATCCGGGCGAGCAGATTTAGCCCTAACCAGGGCTGATGCCAAGGGGCACCGTGCAAGGGGACAGGGAGAGGCACCCCCTGCTCGAGGCAAGGGCGTCGAGAAACCCCCCACCGAGGTCACCAAACACACAGAAATCCCCTAAAAAGAGAAGAGCCAGAGGCTGGAGAGCACTTGGAAGCACTGCATGGTCCTGTCCCGGTTTTCTCTCCCTCTTAAGGTCACCGCCAGGGACAAGTCCCAGGTCAGACAGTCGCCGGACACGGCACTGGCACCGGGCTGCTCCAGGGAGGGTCTGGGGGCTGTGAGGAGCATCCTCAGACCCAGTGGAGACATCGTAGCAGCTGCCTCGTCTCCCCTCTCCAGATCCCGCTCCATCCCGGCTGCCGGCTGCAGCAGGGATGGAGACCCGGGGTTCGGGAGCACGGGATAAGATAAGGTTGGGCTCCAGGCACAGCTGACGGGGAGGTCTCCCTGCCAAGAGCCGCTTCCAGCGGCGGCACAGGGAGGAAAACACTTTCTAGCGGCTCACACCATCACTCATCTCCAGGATTTTTTTTTTTTTAGCAGGAAAACCACCGTCCCAAGTGTCCCAAACTACAAGCAGAGCAAGAACAGTCGGTGCGCAGAGCCCCCGAGGCGAGGCAGAGCGGGTGGGCACAGGAGTCCCCGGCAAAGGGAAAACATTGCCGGTGACCTGCCGACCCTCTGCCCGCCATACCAGGGCTGACACCCCCCCCTCTGCCCGTGCAGGCTCCCCGGGCTCAGCTCGCCTCCCGAGCTGTGGCTTTGCCAGGCAAAGCCCGGTGCTTCTCCCTCCCCGCGGATCGGCATCTCCCTTCCCTTACGCAGCGCTGGGATCCGGCCTGGAAATGGTCCGGCGTGAGCCCCTCCGGCGGCGTCTGATTTTCGCTGGATCCCTTCCCCGCTGCCGGCGCAAGCGAGGGGGAAGCGCGCGGCGGAGGCAGGAGAGAGCGGGCCAGGGATTTCACCTCTTGGGGAAAAAAAAAAAACGAGGATCAGAGCCGGAGGGAGGCACTTGCGGCCGGGCTGCCTTGGCCCGAGCGAGCCCGGGCAGGATCCGGCGAGCTGCCCTTGTCCCTGGCTTTCAAGGTCATTTCAATCCCGTGTGTTGGCTACTGGAGCGGAGCCAACG